ATGCAAAATTCTGTCGTACAGCGCTGCGAAAAAGGGCGGGATTAAACAAGATGATTAGACATTTAAAAAAGCAAGCGATTGGTCCACGTTTTAAATGTCTGTCCAGAGAGGTCATGTTTTGATCCTCGGTTGGCCTCACGCAATCATCATCGCAGGTCAGAGTTCACCAAGCTTGAACCTTCCAATGCAGCAAAATGCGAAACTTGCCATACGACCTTACATTTCCGGTCTGACACATTCGCATGCATATGAATGGAAGTCTATAGGGAGAAAAGTCCAGTGTGACAGCAGCTTTAGCATGATATTTGTCAGTGAATCTCAGAATATGTGCATAAAAAGCTTGTTCTTGTCAACAATCACTCATTACTCCCATCATGTGATCAGTGATTTCTGGTTCCAGCTGCACTGTTCGGAGCAGACAATTTCATTCATTATGTAATATATACACTGTATACAGGTCATTGTTTAACACCAGGCACACTAACTACTTGGGCTACACAATGTATAGAAAAATTCATTATTCTTCGCGTCATAGTCCCCCTCATATTTAGAGACAGTCCATTTAGAAACTATAATTAATAATTATATGAACATAAATTTTTGGATCTCATTCGAAGAGAAAACATGATTTATGGCCCTTTCCTGATTTATTACAGTGTGATGTGGACAACAACCCACTTGATTCCATAGTCTAACTTTTTGACATACATTTCTTCTCTACATCAGTGAAATTCATAGTTCTTCTTACACTGAAATATGCCATTATATTTACCTAACTTCACTATAATTTCAAATAAAGGAAAGAAAAGTTTGTCCCAATTTCCATTTCACACTTACTTGAAAGATGTAGTAACAATGAAAGCCCACAATGTTAGAAAGTGATTGAGTTGTTGTTGCGTCAAAAGTGAAAATACATGATGAAACGCATGCAAGAAATCTCTGAATGCAGAAGTAGCACTGAAACTTCCCACCGGTAATCAGAGTCAATGTTTGACCGCTGACTGGCCTTGAAAGCCATGCAATAATTCATGATATTAATTATACATTATGCTGAAATGTTCCCAGATTTGGGATCCTAGATTGAAAATGATTTAACTGAATGAATAGTTTGTCCTTGATTTCAAATTATTTAAAGGGACACTTACATTTTTAAGCATCTGGAAACTTGCAGAAGGGTGATAAATCAATTGATAGAGAATTGAGGAATGATTCGACATAAATTCTGAGATATCCCAAATGTATTGAATTGGTCTGAGGTTTTATTTGTAAAAGGCAGAATTCTGCTTGCCTCCAATTTCTTACACATACAACTTGAACCTAAAATATTCATTAATACATTTAGGAAAGGTTGATGTGAATTTAAAGCGTGTTCAGCTGTGTTTACTTTAAACTCAAGGCATAAAAACAGAGGTGCTAATACATATGACCACTTACATGTATACAGTACGGTGAAAATTTCGCCATCTACTGTCAAAAACTAACCTCAGAATCCATTCCTCAGATAACAGTGATGCATTCCAAAAATCTAAGATCCCATGAATGGCAATGCATCAATGCTTCAAAACACTGGCAAAGAAACTTAACACAGTGGAACACTGAAATGCTAATATGCAATACAGGTTACCAAAATGTTATTGCGGAGCAACACAGACCAAACACAGAAGTATAAATGCTCAAAATGGCTTTGGCTTCATGAAATAGGATGTAGTATGAGATATGGTGATCAATTAATCCAGAACTATAACTTAAGCCACCTTTGCACTGCACACGACTAATGACAAGCAACAGACTGGAAGTCATTAATTTTCAATGGAGAGTAGTCCGGGAGCTGCGCAGGGTGATCACAACTTATAACACAGAATTAAACACACATTTTGCAAACTACACAGAACGAGGCAACAATTTTATATACACTTACAGGTTATGATTCAGAGGATGATTCAGAAATTGGTCCATTTGTACTGTAAAAGTTTCTGACAAAATCCCTGTCAAAGTTTAACAAAGTCACATACATAATAGTATCTGGTGCTCCTTCAATAGCAAACGGTCGACGAATCCCGTGTTGCAGAGTAGGTTATTGTATCAACAATCCGAAAAATTACAGGAACAAACATGACTAGCTTGTCTATACTGTGGTATTGTTGTGAAAATTAACTTTAACCCTTTATTTCCCGCAGCCGAATCTCCATCTCTCAGTGATAATCATCTTCGAGTCATGATCAGTCCCATGATCCCCAGCACCTCCGCTAGTGTGTGGACGGAAAGCGCCGCGTGCACATTTTAACAGAACTGGAACCACATATTTGGTAATGTACCGTTTTGACGTCGATGTGATTAAACAAAAGATCCGAACCCAACTCAATTCATTTATTCGACTCTGAGTCTACTATTTCGCTAAAGAATCAATAGTTCTAAAAATGCTGAACTTTTGGATTTAAACCTCAGCTGGATGTTTTCATTCACTTAGTGCTTTGTTACACACCACATGGAAGCTCGTTTTCAAAAACCCATAATAGGAGCTCTTTAAGCAAATTATGACGGAGTTATGATGGGTTTATGGGTGCCTTGAAGAGGATCCCCTTTAGCCATTTGCTGCTGGTGTTTTGTTAGTCGTACTAATTGCTTGATCCTATAATGCAGGGCTGCACAATATTGGAAAACTCTAACACTGCAAACTTTTTTTTATTCTGCGATAGATAGATAGATAGATAGATAGATAGATAGATAGATAGATAGATAGATAGATAGATAGATAGATAGATAGATAGATAGATAGATAGATAGATAGATAGATAGATAGATAGATAGATAGATAGATAGATAGATAGACTTAACATTCCATATACTCACGATCTGACTATTGTGAATGATCACATTGTGATATCGATGCTGTAACGATATATTGTGCAGCTCTACTTCATTGTTACTAGCAACAAGCTTTTTTTTAAGCAACAAACTTTATAAATATTAGTAGTTTGCCCTTCTAGTACATCCTACCTAGCAAGAATACTGCTAAGCAGTGGTATGTAATGCTAAATTTAAAACAAAACAACCACTCAAAATCTTTAAAATAATTTAAATAATTTAAAATATATTTTTTTAATATCTATATTGTGTTTTTGAGAATCAATACAGTATTGAGAAACAATACAATACAATACTCATGTGTACCAATATATTCTGCACCCCTTATGACAAGGACTTGGTAAATCACAGATCTCTCTTTTAAATGAATATGTTCTATAGCATACTTCACAATAATGTATTTGTGCCAATACCTTTTCTTTTTTAAGAAAAGCTTTTCTTTTTTAATTACTTATACAAAATAACACCATAATAAATGTTAACTAAATAGCATGGTTAAAAAAATTGTACACACAAATGAATATGTTAGGAAAATATATTAAATTAAATTATAATAAAGAATTAAAAATCAAGAGAAATATAAAAATATATATTTTCAATTTTGTTTAATGTTATAGTTTGTAAAAGTTTTTTTTGCAATACTTCATTAGAATTTAAATGCATTATCATAATTATTCCTAATGATGTTCGGCAGGGCTGCACAATTCTGGCTTAAATTACAATCACAATTTTTATTTTATTTATTTATTAATTTTTTTTTTGCATAAAATAAAGATCACAATGTTCTCAGGATTATGTAGATGTAAAATAAAAGTTAGTATGAGTAGCCTATTATTATTGTTATTTCTAAAAGATACGGTAAAACAACAATAATAAAATTAAGTAGGTTCTGTTCAAGTGTCCACTTCTGTAAAGTGGACATCATGCATGCGCATCCTCTCTGTGGTAAACACAACTCACTGACACTGTAACAAATATGTCATTACATGAAGACAGAAATAAAAAAATTTGGGTGAATGATTACTTATTAATAATTAATTTGGAGGTGTCCATTTTGCTGAGTAATGTAAATAAAACAATAAGAAGACTTGTGTAACCGCCTTTATGCTTCTCTGCTGAACTTTAATTGCCTGAATCATAGACATGCTGGATTAAGATCATGTGGAGTGTCGATTTGAGATTGTGATTTTTTTTTCCGATCAATCGTGCAGCCCTAATGTTCGGTGACAAATCTCCTATTTCAATTAGCATACCTTTCTAATAAAACTGTTTTGTTTAAGTGCATCAAAATGTATTTGACTGAGAAATGGTAAAAAATACATTTTTAAAAGGGGGAATTTTTTAAAGTCTTTGTCACAATTTAAAGTCCTAAAATAAAAGAACTACACACTACGCTACTTGGGGTTTGTCGCATTAAAAGGGAACACCCTATGTGTTGTGCTTCTATTACTACAGGCTTTTAGAAGAAAGCAAGAAAAAATAGAGAAAAAAAAAGCTCCTATTTGTAGATATTGCACAAGATGAGTCACCGTGAGACTACTACGGTCAAGTGACTTGTGCTAAAGCAACTGTAACAGATCCACCCTGACCTGAATCAAACACACATGTCTGTGTCACACATCCCACACCACAGGGTGTTTGTGCTTAGATCACACATCTTTAAAGATCCGATATTTATGTGAAACACGCTGTGACCTTCGTGAGGAAGTGAGCTCCACCCAAAAAGTGTGTCAAAGACCAAAAGCACACTTGTAGGTTTTATTAGCGAACTTTCCCACAAACTTTTTTTGTTAATGTTACTTGAACTGCTTATTGTCATAAATAAAAACTAAACAAATAAATAAATTCCTGAACAACACTGAATTTGACCATATGCATACTTATGCATATGCATTGCATTAATAAATAAACAAATTAATGAATATAATTTTGAACAGCACTCTCTTGAAACACTGAATTTGATAGATAGATAGATAGATAGATAGATAGATAGATAGATAGATAGATAGATAGATAGATAGATAGATAGATAGATAGATAGTAAATAAATAAATAAATAAATAAATAAATAAATAAATAAATAAATAAATAAATAAATAAAAGCAACAATCCAAGCAATAGACACCAGCACAAACCTTGTAAACTTGTCCATACGTCCCATTTCCGACCACTTCTATGAGCTCGAATATCCCCGCAGGATCCTGAAATAAAGAATTACATGCATTGTCCGATAAGATTTCAATAAAGCCAAGATGTCCACAGTGTTATCTAAAGTTGGCAGGCTGCCGTGATTTGAGACGCGCTCATGTTTTCACTCTGCTTAAACATCTGTGACAGTTTCATTTCCATTTTAAATGCGATTGGCAAGTGAAGAAAAGTACAGGAATGTATTTTCCCGACACATAACTAGAGTTTAACGACTACTCTAAACTTAAAATGGCTCACAGTAAAGTTTATCGCTATTAAATCTGACACACAAACTTTGTGTAAAGACTCGACCAATAGCTGCTGTTGAAAAGATGCAAAAAATACAAAACAAACACACTATTACTTCACTTACCCGTAAAGAGGCGAGGTCGATGTTGCTCAGACTTGTTGTAGTGAAGTCTCTCGCCATTTTAATGAGCTCTTCTACCAATATCACAGTTTCTTAACTGATCATGGTTTGAGGAACAGTATGTCTGCCCATCTTCAGCTCCTCGATAGCGCATACACAAGTATCCTACTAAAGCGAAGGCTTCGCTCATGAATGTTAATAACATAACGGAACTCTCGCCCACTAGTTGGAACTGACTTGCTAATATCAGTAAATGGGCGTTCCTAACGGTTAAATCAGCCAATCATTGCACAGTACAAACTTTGCTGCTAAATTATTCATAAGCGTATGTTCCAAGAGAATCCCGTCGTTTCACTGGCGACGACAGTGTGACCTAATTAATATTAATGCACAGTCCCTTACTATAGTAGGATTTGTCGTTTCTCGGGACAAACACAGGAAACCCGGAACACGAGTGAAAAGTGAAAAGCTGCCCTTTCCTCTGCTTACAACAAACAAAGCCCCTCATCGTTGTACATTGGACAAGCTTCATTCACATTTTACTACAAAAATTCCATGACTTTTCCAGGACTTTCGAGTCAATTTTCATGACCTAATGTTTCATGTAATGTTTACGTATACGTTGTTAATCATACGAAAAACAATGAACGTTTAAATATATTACAGCATATTGCAAAACATGCAACAATCTCTTTTATTTCAATTAGTTTTTATATCTATGATTACACAGCACTAACTATGTGGGACCATGTTTTGGCCAAGAAAAGAAGTAAAAGCAACTGACCTCCATTCAGTATACAGATATTTGTGACTATTTTTAGATGATGTTAGTTTGTTAAACTAGTAATAGAAGGTAAAACTACTTCTATTGTATAGCCGCGATCACACTGCACTTTTCGTTCGTAGACTTCCATACAGCAGACCAAAAACGCAAACACATGTGCGACAAGTTTCGCTTTTCACTTGGTGAATTCTTACCTGCGAAATCACATCATGTGATAGTGTTAGACTAGAAGACAATTTAAAATAAGAAATTTAAAATATGGAGCAATTGCTCACTTTTATTACCGTCTAATCATATTGTTTCAATACCACCCCTTTTCACAGCACCGTGTGACAGAATTTCGCAGACACAAGCTCTGTGACCGCTATGGAGTCAATCCAGGGCCATATATACAACATAAAAAAAAAAAGTTTTGCAAAAAAAAAAAAAAAAAATTAATAATGCAAATCTGAAAAAAACTGCAAAAGAAAAATTTAGTTTTGAGAAATAAAAATTAATTTAGCAAACAAAAATAAAGAATTGCAAATAAAAATCAAGTAGTGCAAAAAAAACTATTTGCATTTTTTTTAAATACACATATATTTGCAAAATATGTTTTTCAGTGTTGCATTTACAAAACCTCTCAAGTCAATTGAAATACTCATTTCGATTTGCTTTTCAGTCAACCGTGAGTTTGCAATGCTGTTTACTTTTTGCACTTCAAATTTTTGTGCGTTTGTCTTTCTGGCCTTGATTTCACAAGGGGTATGGAGTCAATCTGGGGCCATATATACTTGCAAAATAATAAAAAAAAAAGTTTTGCAAACAAAAAAAAAAGTATTGTTCAAAAAATAAATAAATAAATGCAAATCACCAAAATCCCAGGGCAAAAATTAATATTTGAGAAATAATAATTAATCTTGGTAACAATAATAAAGAACTGCAAACGAAAAATTAGGTTTTGAGAAATAAAAAAAGAAATTTGCAAACAAAAAAACAAATCCAAATAAAAATCAAGCAGTGAAAAAATAAATAAATAAATAAATAAATAAATATATATATATTTATTTATATAAAAAACAAAACAGCATTGCAAACTCACGGTTGACAAAAAAGCAAATCAAAATGAACATTGCAATTGACTACGGGTTTTGTAAAACTCAAATAATGACTAAATGTAAGTCTTTGAGAACGGGTTTCTCAAGCCAGGTGGTGCATTAGACCAGGGGCTCATCTCCTGTTTCCAAAATGCATCACAAACTGCTTGAGAAATTGTTCTTCTATTATAATTGGTGATGAAAATAAGATGTACTTGTTTGTACTAACTGTTTATTCATTTAAACATTAATTTTGAACTGTACTGTGCCTACATAAGCTCGAAACAACGACTTTATATTACCTTGATCCGACTATAGTCATAACTGAACTAAAGAGAAATGGAATTAGGACATGTGGAGTATGCATATATTAATAGCATTTTTGAAGTAAACACCGCAATCAAACTATTACCGTCATATAGGACTTTTCGTCTGTCAGTAAAAGGCCGCGCACACACAAACACATCTCGAAATGCAGAAGTTTTTTAACACTCTCACCAGTGCTTACTCATATATTGCGTCTAATACCGCAGTTTGAAACAGGGGCATGAATGAAATGTTCATGAGTGAAAATGCTGAACTGCAGTTAAGGCACCTAAAATTACAGGAAACTCTTACATGAAAGCATTTCACGTACACACCTTAGTTATATTATTGTCTATTAACTAGATTACAGATGTCCATGTAAACGTAGTCAGTAGTGTCTAGTAAGTGAAAGATCCAGAAGGGCATCCTGCTGATTTGATTCAGAAGGGCATTTTTTGTCAGACGGCTCACCGGTTTGACTTTCATTCACCGTCATTCATTTTAAAAAGCACAGGGTCCATCTTATTTTTATTTGTTTCACTCGAACGCATAAACATATACATATATATGTTTTTTTTTTTTTAATTGCAACTGTCTTAGTTTTTTTCACTGCTTGGTTTATTTGCAGTTTTTTTTTTTGTTAGCAAATTTCATTTTTATTTCTTAAAACTAAATTTTCCCTTTGTAGTTCTTTAATATTGTTAGCAAAATAAATGTTTATTTCTCGAAAATAAAAAATTTTCTTCGTGATTTTTGGAGACTTGCATTTATTTATTTATTTGTTTATTTATTTATTTATTTATTTACTTATTTATTTATTTATTGTTCAATACTTTATTTTTTGTTTGCAAAACTTTTATTTTGCATGTATATATGGCCTTAGATTGACTCCATAGACCGCAGCTTAAGTCGCTTTGGACAAAAACGTCTGCTAAATGACTAATGTAAATGTAATTTCCATGACTTTTCTAAAACCTTGTGGATTTATCTGTTTTTCCAAAACTTTTCCAGGTCTGGAAAATACCATGTCAAAATTCCATGACTTTTCCTGGTTTTCCATGACCGTATGAACCCTGATTAGAAGACAAAAAACTGGACCTTTATTAGTTTCATACATCATTCAAACATATCGTCAATGTGTCCTGAAATAAAAAGCATCCCCCACACTTTCTCACTCATATATTTATTTATTCAGTCGGTCTGATAACATTAGTTATATTACAAATAATTTATACGCTAATTCAAAACCCCAAAACTCTGTGAGTCAGACAAGCTGCTTGGATTTTTGAATATTTTGTTAAATAACAGCTCAGATATTTGTAAGTCACTCTCCCACACATCACTGTATGTATCTGAAGAGTAAAATGGCATACTAGACGTGAGTATACAAAACGAAATCACTCATTTTAGTGATCTGTCATTTCTTTAAACTAGATTAAGAGGGCAACATTGCATACAAATTCGGTAAAATGATCATAAATATCAATAAATGTCAACGATCAAACCGTTTGACAGCACTGAAATGCTGGGTATGAAAACAATCAAAACATAACATCCAAAACGACCTGGAAATAATTAAGTCGAATGACGAGTATCAAAAAAAATGTACACCTCCTCTTACCTGGCTACAAACAATATTAAAATGTGCTTATTAGATCTGACGAGTATTTATTTGCATAAATAGAACATAATATTCTTTAAAGCTCTGAGCTGCTGTGTCTTTACATTATTGTGCTATAACAACCAAAGACGTGAATGTCAAATAAAACCTTCGATGTTGAAGATGCAGATGCAGTGAATAAACTGTACATAGTATAATAACCTTAAAATTCAAGTAGGAAAACAATATCAGTAGCTCTTCATCGGTCAGAACGAAGTATGAAAACACTAAAGGCTGGAAGAAAGCGAGATAAACCATCATGTTTCTTTTTGAACCGTAACTAGATGAAATCATGCAGATAAAAAGGAGGGTAGGGAGAGGGGGATGAAATCGGCAAAGCTGGGCAATTGCTGTGAGGTGTTCTACCAGATATCGCTGGAAAGTTCTTGTCCAGACAGCGGTACGAAAGAGCTGTTCAAGTGAATCTCTTTCTTGCCTTTCCCAATGTTATTCTGCGTCAGTCTGCCATTCAGCAGTGTCATGGGCAAATTGCAGTACATGTGACGGCCATTGAGCGTCGCTATTGCGGTGGTGGGCAGCTCATATTCGTAGCTCCGGCAGAAATGGCGCATTTGCATGTGACTAGGCTCATTATAGTCTGGTATTTCAACCTGAGTAGGCGCTAGCGATGCAGAGGTCGCTGTCATGGCAACTGTAGATACCGCCTGCAGGTCACCAAACAACCCTTGCTCTCCTGAATCTAGAACTTGTCGACGAGACATGGTCTCTTTTTTCTTAGCTGGCATCTCGTAGCGGACCTGCTTCCAGAACTTGGATTTCAGCTGGTTGCTTTTGGGGCCCTGCCATTTGATGAGCGTCAGCACTCGGATGGTGTGTTTGAGGTCTTCTACCTCCTGGTAGTTGATAACGCTGCGCAGGTCCGGGCATTCGATCATGATCACCTTGATTTCACCAGTCACCAGCATGCTGTGCAGTCGCGGCTCGAACTGGAAGATGCTCCAACCACGGCGGGCCACGAACTCGGGGGTCAACACAATAATGAGACGCCTGCTCTGCTCCACGCTCCGGGCCAGGTCCTCGATATATGCTGGAAACAGACAGAAATGACAAATGACTACGGATGCCATGCGCAATGTCACACAGACACACACAGATATGGAATAAATGGGGTGATTCAGACAAAAAGCAACATAAATCATTTGTGTAAAACAGTGACATCTAATCTGAAATGACAAATAAATAGGTGAAGATTTAGCGCAACGTGTCAGTGCAGACCAAGAGGCAACCTCCCGCTCTCTTGCGCGTGAAGCCAATATGGAAGTAACTGAAACTGCAATTCATGGACTCTCCTTTGGGGGCTGCCTCCAGAAACTCCAGATGTTCACTGGTTGCAATGCTAAATTGGCCAGTTTTACAGCTGATAAAAATATGTTTACAGCCTGGTACAAAAGATGGTTTTGGTTCATATAGCTAATATTACTCTTCATGACAACTGTGAGGGGGTGATTTTTTTTATAACTTAACTCTTTTGTTTTTATTACATTATATTAAGTCTGCATAATTAAGGGCGGGGCCAGTTGAGTGACATCTAGGTCTCGCTGGTCACCGTCACGTCACCTCAGCTGATTCCAGCTGATTAGCTGCTGAACTCTGCATATACGTTGTATTTTTGTTTTGTTTTATGTAACTTTACTCAGTCAATTGCCTTTTGGAATTATTTCTTACAATTATCAGATGATATGGCATGCTGTGTGCACTTAATTGTGCTCACAAACCATTCAAATTGTCTCCATTTCCCAGGTGAGTGAATTACTTAAATACCATATCTATAAATGTATTTGTTTTACTTATAATGTATTATCATTCATAATTTTCTTTAGACCTGTAAAGCACTCCAGAAACTGACAGATTGATTAGCTGTAGGCAATAAAAAGGTCATCTGAAACGTTGTCATACAGTTTTATGCCTGTTTTTTTTAGATAGCCTTGCATTTACTAACATAGACTTTATTTGAAGTATTTGGAAGTAATTTGCGTTTTCCTCCTGTAGAAAATCGTCATTAGAATGTTTAGTGAATCAATGTTTTACAAAAGTTTTTTAAAAGTCTAAAAACTTTATTGATATATCAGGCAATGCAAGTTTATTTATATTGCACATTTCATACATATAGTGGCAATTCAAAAAGCTTTACATAAACAGGAATAAAAGAGACAAGTATAAGAAAAATAAAAACAAATAATAAAAATGATTTAAAAAAAACATAAAAACAAATAAATATGTGTTAAATCAGGTTATAAAAGAATGAAAAAAAGAGAAAAACATAGTGTGATCTGTCGGACGAAGCACAGCACTTATTTAGTAAAGGCTCTGCTAAACAGATGTGTTTTCAGTCTTTATTTGAATGTGCCTAATGTTGAAGCACATCTGATCACTTCTGGATGTTGATTCCAGCAGCGAAGGGCATAGTAGCTGAAAGCCGATTTATCCTACTTTGACTGAACTCTTGGAATTTCTATATTATATATTCCTAAAGATCTGAGTGATCTGTTAGGTTTGTATTCAGTGAGCATATCTGAAATGTATTGAAATAATACTTTAAAATCTATTCTGAATGTAACTAGGAGCCAGTGTTAAGACCTGAGAACAGGTGTGATGTGCTCTGATTTTGTGGTACTGGTCAGAATCCTGGCCGCAGCATTTTGGATGAGCTGCAACTGTCTGACTGTCTTTTTGGGAAGGCCTGTGAGGAGGCTGTTACAGTAATCTACCGCGCTGCTTATAAAAGCATGAACTAGTTTATCTAAGTCTTCACTGGAAACTAAGCATCTGATTATTGCAATGTTTTTGAGATGATAGTATGCTGATTAGTATCCGTGACATCACCCATAGGTTTCTGAAGAGCGCAAATGAAGGTAATGAAGTCGCGTGTCGCAGGTAATGAAGTATTAAGCATATCTCCCAAAGAAAAGCCAGTCTAAGCAAAATGCTAGCAGTTGTCTGTGGCTTCGCTCAAGCTCCCCCTCTTTGCCCTTGTTTGGTAACCCCGGTCGGTTGGATGACACGCAAACAAAATGGCGACGGTTGGCCACGCCTACTTTTAGCTTAATTTGCGTTCTTCAGAAACCTATGGGTGTCGTCACAGATACTACACCTCTTTTACAATCTATAATACAGACTCTTTTTTTTGGTCAAACATTTTGGTTAGTTGGTTAGTGTTAGTTCAACCAAACATTTTTATTTTGTTCTGAATTAAGCCCTGGTCAGATCACATGATTTTTATTGTCAGTTACAAAAGTCACTATATCAGCTTATGCGATTTTGTGTTGATAAAATCTTGACCTGTCATGAGTAACACATGCCAGACTCCACGTTTCTTCACAATTAGTCATTCCGTGACGTATGCAACAAGCTTTATTTCCTAAAACAGTCACAAGTGTTGCTATAACAATTTTTCTTCTCTCAATTTCAAACCTTATTTCAATCTCAATGAACACTGATGCTTGCTGACAACTTGGCTACATTTTTTAAGGGCATTCGTTACGACATAAATAGGATCAAACCTCATCCATTCATTCATTTTCTTTTCGGTTTAGTCCCTTTATTGATAAGGGGTTGCCACAACAGAATGAACCACCAACTTATTCAGCAAATGTTTAAAACAGCGGAAACACCTGTACACTCTTGCATTCACACACATATACTACAGCCAATTTAGCTAATTAAATTTACCTATAGCGCATGTCTTTAGACTGTGGGGGAAACCGGAGCACCCACGCTAACGCAGAGAGAACATGCAAACTCCACATTGAAATGCCAACTGACCCAACCAAGGCTAATTATTATTGTAATTAATATTATTATCAATAATAATAATAATAATAATAATAATAATAATAATAATAATAATAATAATAATAGTAATAGTAAAAAAGCAATATTGACAGGAGTAATAATTTCATTTGAAACTACATACAATAGGAGAGTAGTTGTTTAAAATTGCAAAAAAAATATTTAATAACATTAAATAATGCCGTTGTGATGAACAGAATAATTTTCTTTAAAAAAAATAACATGGAAAAAAAACGTTAAAAACTTTTGAGCGGTAGTGTATGTAATTATGTAATTATGTATATATATATATATATATATAAATTATGGTATATATATATATATATATATATATATATATATATATATATATATATATATATATATATATATGTACTGTATGTATGTTTGTATGCACAGTATCGCTCTGGTTACAAAAGTAACCCTCGTTCCCCGAGAAGGGGAATGGAAATGCTATAAGTTGATTTTAATCCACGAATGGGGATTTCGTTTCAGAGAGCCAATTGCCTGAAAGAGTATATATCGGCCTATGTAATGCCAAATGAGTGTACACACTCTGGACCGAGAGAATGCTCTCTTTCGCTCGAAATCGCTGGATCACAGCAGGAGGAACCCTCATCGACTCTCCCAGAGGGCTGTAATAGTCTCTGAAGCAAAAAGGATGGTGTTTCCTTGCTTTCTCTGTGCTTATTTGCGGAGCCAATTGGCAATAAGCTTCAGGTGCGCAAGCTTACGCTGCCAACTCATTTGGCATTTCATTGGCCCGTTATATATTCATTCAGACAATTGGCTTTCTGAAACGAAATCCCCATTCGTGGATTAAAATCCACTTACTGCATTGAAGTTCCCCATCCGAAGGGGAAGTATGTATAAATCATGTATAGTTGAAGTCAAAATTATTCCCCATTGAATTTTTTTAACTTTTTCAAATATTTCCCAAATGATGTTTAACAGCGCAAGGAAGTTTTTCACAGAATGTTTTTCTTCTAGAGAAAATCGTATTTGTTTTATTTCTGCACAAAAGCAGTTTTTATTTTTTTACAAACCATTTTAGGGTCAATATTATTAGCCCTCTTAAGCTATATATATATATATTTTTAATTGTCTACGGCAGTGGTTTTCAAATCTTTTTCACCAAGTACCACCTCAGAAAAAAAATGGTCTCTCCAAGTACCACCATAACGACCAGTATTAAAATACAGTAGCATAGTAGGCCTAATAAAGCAGCTACAGCACTGCACTGTTCAAAAAACGTGGCAGATTAATTTTTTTTGATAAAAATATTTATTATTGACAGCCACTATAAACATTAACACTGCAACACTGTGTTAAATAAATAAAAAGTCAGCGTTTGAATTAAAATGTGCTTTTAAGAGTTAATTAAAATGGCACTGTTTTAAAAAGTAAAAAAAAAAAACAAACAAAAAAACTGCTGTAATTAAATGTAAAGTATTATCATATAGTAGCCTATTCATCAAAACCTGGAAATGTTCCTTGGGATACATATAGGCTACAGTATGTGTCATCATATTCATGTATAAGCTTTTTGATATATATTTTTTTAAATATACAAATAAATTATATGAAACATATGACTTGAAATCTAAACATTACCTTGTATTTTAAAAATATATGAATTGGATTTACATACTTAAATTGAAAATTAGATCTGCTTATTGCACGTTAGAGGAGGCTTTGTGTGTCAGAAAAGCAAGACATTAATTTACCTGTCAACATTGGGATATAAAAATACTGGATACGCCTCAACAACCGTTACAAATATGGCAAGGAAAAAAGCTTCAAATGATTGAATACATAACAAACATTAGAAAATCGAAATAAATAAAAGGTTAAGCCTATTAAAATCAATTTACTGATGGGATCGGTGTTATTGTATACTTTAAAGGTTTAAAAATGTTCATTCTTTTTACTTTAATTATTCAGTGATTCCTTCGCGTACCACTAGAAGGAAGAGTGTACCACATTTTGAGAACCACTGGTCTACAGAATAAACCATTGTTATACAATGATTTGCCTAATTACCCTAACTTAACCCTGTGAAGCCTTTAAATTGCACTTTGAGCTGAATGCTAGTATCTTGAATAATATCTAGTGCTAAATATTATTAACAAATATTACATGCTATCATCATGGCAAATTATTCAAACTTTTATGTTTAGAAATGTTTTGAAAAACCTTTCCTCTGTTAAAAACAAAAGTGGGTACAAAATTATACAG